TATCGGGAGGACAGGCTGGGGACAGCGCGGCCCCCGCCGCCTCCGCCCCCCGCGGTGCCCGTCCCTGTCCCTTCCCTGTCCGGGTTCAGACCCTAGGGCGACCGCCCGGGCTCATTCTTCAAACCCAAAGCGAACCCTAGCTCAGCGTTCCGCGGCCCAGCGCGCCCTCCATCCAAGCTGGCTGGGGCTCTGTCCCGAGAGCCCCGCTGAAGATCCCGGGTCTCCAGAGCTACACCTGGGGAGGGGTTGTCAGCCGAGGTGCCCAGGGCAGTGCCCTGGGAGGGAGAAAGACTTCTTGGTGGTCATCTGGGAGCTGGAGGGACAGCCCGACTGGCAGAGCCCCGTGGGAGGGGGCAGCTGGTTGGGGGGGTCAGAGATGGAGCCTTGCCACCCAGCAGCGATGCCCCCCCCACACACAGGGGGACTCTGGGTGCTGTCCTATACCAGGTACACGTGTATTCAAAACCGTTGGTCAGATGTGTACTTCTAGGGTCCCAATGAACAGATAGGGAAACTGAGGCCCAGGAAGGTTAGGGGAGGGAAACTGAGGCCCAGGAAGGTTAGGGGGGAGCCGTCCATGGTCATTGATTGGATTAGGAGGTGGTAGAACCAGTATTTATTTGTGAGAACTATTTCCAGAGACTAGAAACCGTCCCACGGAAGGGTTGGCTCAGATCGACCTCTCAGGGACCTGTCGGAGCTGTAAAAAGAACCCAGGGAAGTCCTCTTAGAGGTCCCCCTTCCCCATTCCTTTCTTTCCTTGTCCCCCTCTGTCTCCTCACCCTCTTTCAGGCTGATCTCCAGCTCTGTGTGTCCAGGAAGGCTGGCCCAGGGTCTCAGCTAGGAGCTGGGGTTGAGTGCTGTAAGTAGAGCATCTGGGGGGGGGGGAGGTGCTGGTGGGGCGGGCAATGAGGAAGAGGAAAGCAGCAGGCAAGCTGTGGAAAGGAGGAGGCCGCTGGCAGAGGAGGTCGGCCTGCAAAGTTAGGAATTTGCATAAAAATCCAGGTCTCTGACTTCTCACTTCTTTTCTTCTTCTTTCCATTGCTGGAGATTGAACCCAGAAAATTGTATTTGCTAATCCTTCTGCCACTATGAGCTAGGACTGTAGCCTTTCTTTCTTTTTTGGTTAATTCTGTTTTATTTATTTTGTTGCTGTTGTTTACCTTTGCTCAGGCTGTCCTTGAACTCTTGATCCTCCTCTTGCTGCCATGTGAGTAGGTGTATGACCACCTTGCTTCCTCTGATCTCTCTGGGAAAAGTAGGAGCTCTGGGTGCTTGAATCAGACCCCTGCACTCTCGTCTCTCCTCCTTCCTCATCTCTGATCATTATGTCTCTTGGTTCCTACGTTTGCCATCTGTCTTCCCCTCTGGAACGTGAGCTCTCTGGGCACAGGAAGCAGCCTGTCTTGGTCATTGCCATCTCCAGTGCCAGGACTCAACAAGCAGCTCTGAAGTTGGAGAATGAAAGATGAGAAACATGGGCCTCACCTCAGGAGGACAACGTAGTTGCTGACAAAGATTTAAGACGGGCTGGGAAGGTGGCTCAGTGGTAGAGTGCTTGCCTTGCACGAGTGAGGCCCTGGGTTTGATGCCTCAGCACCACATAAGCAGAAAAAGCTGGAAGTGGCATTGTGGCTCAAGTGGTAGAGCGCTAGCCTTGAGCTGAAGAGCTGAGGGACAGCGCCCAGGCCCAGAGTTCAAGCTCTGTGACTGACAAAGAAAAGGATTTAAGACAGAATCTTTGTTAGTGCAAGGATGGGAAAGCCGCTGTAGGCTCCGTGTGAGAGTGAGGTTTTATGGGGGAAGGGAAACTTGTACTGAGTTTTGAAGGTAGAATAGAGGTCCAACAGGAGACACCAGATAGAGGGCAAAACAGATCAGGGTGGGTGATGAGGGAACATCAGGGGAGGTAATCCACTCTGTTACAATGTAGCAGAAGCTAGGGGCTGGGAAGGTGGCTCAGTGGTAGAGCGCTTGCCTTGCATGCATGAGGCCCTGGGTTCGATTCCTCAGCACCACATAAGCAAAAAGAAAAATCCCGGAAGTGGTGCTGTGGCTGAAGTGGTAGAACCCTAGCCTTGAGCTGAAGAGGGACAGCGCCCAGGCCCAGAGTTCAGGCCCCAT